ATTTTGTTCACACTGTGGCCTCAGCTCAGGAATTGGCTCCACTGTTAGGAAGACTGAAGTATCCCCCTCTGGTAAGCAGATATTTGGATGTATGTGCAGAATATAGAAATCTTCATGGCTATTTGTGCTAAGCCTCCTGAAACTGTTCCCATCTGTTGAATGACAAAGCTGCTTGTGTCACAGAGTTTACCCTGTGGTAATGTTTGGGCCAACACTAGCTCTTGGTTCTTATGCTGAAGCAAAAAACAGATATGTTTCATTTATTTTCTTGGGACTCTATCCTAATATTTTCAAGAGTTGTTCTTGTGTGTCTTCAAGTTGTTTCTGACTTATGGATACCCCAAGGCATGGGGCTTTCTTGGCAGGATTTGTTCAGAAGGAGGTTGCCATTGCCTTCTTCTAAGGCTGAGAGAATGTGACACGTTCAAGGTCACCCAGCAAGTTTCCATGGCTGAGCATGCATTCAAACCCCAACCTCCTACGCTCAAACCATTACACCATTCTGCACTTAAACATAGAGTTTAAATCTGTATAATAGGGCCTTTCTAAGTCACCATTAAGAAAAGATTGCTTTGTCTAAAACCTGATCTCAAGCAACTTAATCTGTTCACTTTTCATATAACTGCTTTTAAAAAAACTAGACTATACATAAAACAAAGAAGAAAAAATCCTCTACCCCAAAGGCTAGAAGGAATAAGCAGTAAAACAATTACTGAAGGAAGTGCTATTGACATACACAGAAGAATGACAGAGTCAACTGTACAAGCTTATCATATTCCTGTAAGATTTCTCCTGCTACAATGCCTGTCTTGGGAGATGCAGATTCAGCAAGCAAAAATTGCCCTGTTCTTCAGTTTCAGAGAAAGAAAGAACACCCAAGCAAGACTTTAACCATGATAGTTTTCCACTGGCTAGCCAGCTTTGTCCTGACAATGCTAGTGGATTTCTATCCACACTCCACATCAGTACATAGCTAGGGATATTACGTTTTAAATTAATTTGTTCAGGTTACTCATTACAACATGAAAGAAGCAATTCGTTATACTACTTGTTACTCAAATGTAACTCAATAAATCGGTCATCATCAACACACTGTTTTCAATTGTTTGTTTTTAAAAGGGACAGAAATACAAACATTGCCCCCAAAATTATCCTAAATGACTCCTGAAATGTAAAGTTTTACAAAAAAGAAGTTTTTAAAAAAGTAAAATGAATAATCATCTTCCTTTTAAAATGTACAGCTTGTTCCTTAAAAAGACACTCTTTTACAGCTATTTTCATTTTACTTCCAAGCTTAGTCTTGATAAAGCCTATTTTTACATTTCACAATCAAGGCTGTTGTTGTGGAAGAAATCTGAGAAACCTTCTATGTGCCCCACTAGTTTTTTATGCTGATTCATCTATGAAGTACTTATAGGAGGATTACTTCTAATACTATCAATCAAACAATATTGTGTAGCTACCCTTATCCCTCTCTCCTTAACAGACTTTTGTGATATGAAATAACAGGTGGGAAACGCAAGGAAGTAGCAAGGAAAGTTTGTATGGCTCTTCTCCAAATTTACTGAATGAAGCAGGGTAATTGTACAATAAAGGACTTGTCTGGAATCAGCCTGATGTTTCTGGACTGAAAGAAAGGCAAGCAGTAACCTAGTGGTTTTCAAACTGTTACTTTTGTGACCCCTTTTTACATCTACATGGGGATATCACCCCCCTACTCAATGAAGCATATTAATAAAACATATTTTATTTGTTTAGTGTGTGTAGTTTTGTTCACATATTCATGTTTGTTGTTGCCAGCTTCCCTCGAGTTGGTCCCGACTCATGGTAGATGAGACACCTCCAAGACTCCCTTTCCTCCACTACTCAGTCCCTGGAAACCAATGCCTGTGACTCTCCTGACTGAGTCCATCCATCTGACATGAGATCTTCTCCTCTTTCTTCTACCCTCTACCTTTCCTAGCATTTTTTTTAGTGATCTGTGCTTTTTCATTATGTGGCCAAAGTATGACAGCCTCAATCTGACCATCTTGATTTCCAAGGAGATTCCTCATTTGATCTGTTCAAGGACCCATTCACTTGACTTTTGGATGGTATCCTAAAATTACCTGGAATTAGTTCTGTTCTCAAGTTACCCATACAGCAGACATAGATTCAGCAACAGTAGAGGAAGAATATATTAAAGCATTGCACAACTGTTTCTCATGCCACAACACTTGCACTGTTTAACTTGTCATGTTACAATTTTTAAATGACAGGGCAGGGGAGTAAGGTGATAGTATAAGACTATATGGAAATTGTACACGTGTGCTACTACTCGACTCAGGCCTGCATCCTTCCGAGGTCGCTAAAATGAGTACCCAGCTTGTTGGGGGGCAATCAGCTCACAGTTGTAAACCGCTTAGACATCCCATGCGCGATATGAAGCGGTATATAAATGAAGCTGCTTTGCTTTGCTTTGCTTTGCTTTGAGAGATCATTGTTAAATATATGCTGAGACAAAAGATAGGAAGATGCAAAAAAATGAGCAGAGGAAAAGAACTTGCAGAGGGCATCTATAGTGAGCTGAATGAACGAGGAAAAAAACAAATTCTTGGCAAAATGTTATTTATCTGGGATAAAAGCCAACACACCTTTTCCACTTAAACCTTTTATGTGGCCTAGCAAACATTACCAAAGGGGTTTATTTTAATTTTAAGCCCTATAATTGCAACTTTGAATCATCCTCATCCCCCCCCCCAATGATTCAGAAACTGTCATTATATTGATATTAACCTCAGAACAGTCCTTACTATTTATATGAATGGTTGTCAAGGAAACCAGGTACCAAGGATAACCGTGGAACATATGTAGACTAAGCATATCTTGTACATAAGTGAAAAACATGTCATCCCAAGAAAGCATCTCAGAAGCTAATAGGCTTTACAAGATCTTTGTTTCACAATCCATATAAACACACATTTGGAAGAGATATTGTTTCATGTAGAGCCAAACAACTTGACCTTTTTGCATTCAGAACAATCTGAAGAAAAAGGCCAGCTGAGAATTAAAAATACGGTTGAGAGGTTCTGCCAAGACTGGTTAAAATGGCTTTGAAAAAATTCAATAGATCTTTCCAGATTTCAGTGTTATTTCTTTCACTAATATGTTAATTTCAACTCTGATAAGTAAGAATTCCCTATCAATTCAGAGAGGAACCAGAATTTTGTTCCATCATCACTTCTTGAACAAGTATAAGAATTTCTGGTGTAGCAATACTATAGGAAAGGGCATCATATAAAGATCAAATCTCAGTTTGTTAACCAGAGATATATAATACATAAAACTTTGTCTGAGCATGCAGTGCCTTTATTCTTCACTTTTGTATACAATCACACAAGGAAATCTTTCTCCATTTTGTGTGCACTAAGAAAGTACAATTAGCAAGCTTCAGGACAACCTAGCGTCCTCAACCATTGTTTAAACGCATTTATACAGGCTGGCTTGTTCCAAAACTGGAACAACTTGAATGCCTGGTAAAAGGTTTATGCATACTTTGGCTTAATAAACTGAGGCATGATATAGTCTGTGTTAGTCACAAACAACTGGACAAACTTTTAGATGGCTTTTTCCGAGATAAAAATTCTAATTGACTGAACAGTTCAACCTGCCTTTAGTCACTCTTCTGCATACAGGAGTGGTTTTATAAATTCTTTGTTAACTGATTCTGGTGAGAATTCTGTAATGTATGTAACATTCATTTATGCTTGAGGGTTCGGGTGCTCATACTGGCTTTATGACATTTGGAGGTGTTCCATTTATACAGGCTACTTAGCATGCAATGCTCTCTCATATCCCAACACAAAACATGCTGGGCACACAATATAACAGCCACAACCAAGAGATGATATGGAGAGCTGAAGAATGTAGACATTAAGAGCCTTTCTCTAAGTTTTTAAAAAGCTGTAAATTGGCATGCATCATGTGAGTGAAAAATGGATGGTGAACAACCGCTTAAAAGTCCAAAAAGGGAGATGTGTAAGGAATTTGTAGAGGTCAGACATGACAGACATGTGTAGGACAATGTTGTAGTTTGTGGAAAAATTAACTGCTGTGCTATAGATCAGCCTTCTTTGCACAAGGTGATTTGACATGAAGATGTGCTGAAGCTAGTCAGAACTCACAACATAAAGGTGTCATATTTCTTCTTTGGCCCTTGAACCAAAGTCACATTGCCAGTTTCTGAAGGTAGTTTTGACATTCCAATTTCAGAAATAAAACAAGAACACTTCCAGAAATAAAAGAACAGCTTTGTTAGATGCAGTCCAAGGGTTATCATCCATACACATGTAAGATATTGCTGATTGTTCACACAATCCTTATGTTATTACAATAATTCATTTTTATACATGGATGAGAGCACCCTCTTCATGGAATTTATAACAATGAGGTGACTTCCAATATATGATTCTGAAATCACAAAAGCTTCACTTTTGCTAAAGTTCCAATGAATTCATTGGGAAAATGGAAGAACAATACATCTGCTTCAAACATATGTGCTATAACTCTCTATTAAACATTTTTTCCTGATGTTTGAAGTGTATATATAAGACAATTTAGAAATATATCCACTAAGTCTCACTATGCATTCTCCTCAAGACATAATAATTGATGTGCTACACAAACATGTTCTAGGCCAAGGATGCAATCCCTCCAGATGAACTAACGATCCTTCATCACTGACCAGGGTGTCAGAACTGATCAGAAGTGGAATCCAGCAACACACAGAGGCCCCCAGGATCTAGTGGGGAGACACTTCTCATACTTGGGACAAAAGATCACAGGTTGTTTTTCTAAAAAAGCCAATGTCTGGGGTAAAGAGATGCATACAGGAAATGGAAGCATTTGTTTTATCTGTGAAACTTAACAGAGGCTAGGACTGGATGGAATATTAACTCTCCCATTCTAGAATAAAGTCAGGGTATAAATCCAAAAATAGGTGGGTAGGTAGGAAGCAAAGAGCCAGCGTTGTTTAGTGGTTTGAGTGTTAGACTATGACTCTGGAGACAAGGTTCAATTCCTGGCTTGGCCATGAAACCCACTGGGTGACCTTGGACAAATCAAATGCTCTAAGCCTAGGGAAAAGCAAAAGCAAACCTCCTATGAACAAATCTTGCCAAGAAAACCCGACAATAGGTTCACCTTAGGGCAGGGGTCGGCAACCTATGGCCCACAGGCCAGCTGCGGCCCATGGAGGCCTTGGGACCGGCCCATGGCCAGTCCCGTTGCCACCAGTGCTGGCCTCGCCACTGTCGCCCCACGTGCGAGTGTGGGAGCCATTTTGGAAGGCCGCACGGCGCAGCCACCGTGGGGCTTTCCCTGGGCCTTGGGAAGGCCCCAGCGCATGTGCGCTGGGCGAATTCGCCCTGCACTGGTGCGCTGGGGCCTTGCCTGGGCCCTGGCAAAGGCCCAGCGCATGTGCACCAGGTGAATTCGCTCTGCGCAGGTGTGCTGGGCACTTCCCTGGGCCCTGGCAAGGTCCCAGCGCGTGTGCACAGGGCGAATTTGCCCGGGGCACGTGCGGTGGGGCCTTCCAAAATGATGCCCCATGCGTGCACGCATGCGCATGACGGCAAGCGCACACACCCACCCAGCCCCCATGCCATTTCCCCCCTCCCTTCCCGGCCCCCCGGTAACAAAGGTTGCCAACCCCTGTCTTAGGGTCACCATAAGTCAGAAATTATTTGAAGGCACACAACAACAAACAACAACAACAACAACATGTAGGAAGATAGATGAATAGGATAGGATAGATCTCACCCTGGGAAGCTTTTATAGGCCTTTTATAATGAGTAGAAAGCAGATAACCCTTCTTGAACCACTTCTGGATGGTGTTGAAATGGAGAGAAAGGAACAGACTCTCATGGCTTGCAGTCTTAATTAAGTAGCCTTGGTATCTATATTCCACGTTATAAATAATAATGCACAAGCTTACAAATGAAATATCTTTCCCCCTCAAAATGCAGTCCTCAGCAGGAAGATACATCTAGGCCAATATCTGCTTACTGCTTAATATGCAAACAATATTGAAGTTTCCCTCTCTCCCCCCCCATCTGTCTCTTTTTTTTTTAAGGTATTTTTTGACAGGTGATCCTTCCCCTTTGCCACTTCTTCCAATTATATTCTGTTTTCACTTCCTACTAACATGTGGAGTGGTTTGGAATTTCCTTAATTAGTACAGCAATTTGCTAAATCTTGTTTTTACCCTTTTACATGATTTTAATCAAGTTCAGCATGGCAATGATTTGATATGCCATACAAATTACTGTCACAACTCTCAGGTGCCAAGTTTTTGAAATATTTTAACAGTTTCTCTGGATGACATTCTTTCTGTATTCCAACACATTGGTGAACTGCCATGATCTAATTTAATGTTTCTTGCATATACATGTTTATTGCAAGTAAATTTGACTAAAATAAATGGATAAGATACAGTTTTCTGTGGGACTTTTATACACTTTTGATTAAAAGGATGAAATATTTTAATACTGCAATATATTTAAATAGAACGTACCCTATCTATTCAACCTGTATGCAGAACATATTATAAGCAAAGCAGGCTTGGACACAGAAGAGGGAGGAGTGAAAACAGGAGGAAGGAATAGCAACAATATAAAATAAGCAGATGACACCATAATACTAGCAAAAAAACCTCACAGACCTGGAACAC